GTCTGTGCTTAGAGCAGGAGCAGTGGAAGGCTCTTCTCTCTTCTTTGCCGTGACCTCTATCTCGATAGGGGTATAGGTGGTAGTTCCTTTCTGTGCTTGTGTCGGTGAGGCTGCCAAAGAGTCTCCCATTAATTTTGGAACTGAGGGGGTGTTTGTCTGAATAGTTGGATCCATTGGAGGCTTGCCTTTATGTTGGTCCCTAACCAATGGTTCAACAGCAGGCCCAATTTTGGTTGTCAAAGGTCAAACAAGTTAGTGTTGTAGAGAAAAAAAAAAGGGCATGAGACAGTCAGGGATATGAAGTATATGAAGGAAGGATACCTGTAGCCTAACGCTTGGAAGACGAGGATATGGGGCCTTGATTATCAATACAAGTATCGTGAAGGCAGGTTTTAAGTGGCTTGCAGAAAATAATGGCAGTCATAAGTCCCCACCAATGGTCAAAAGCAGTGGAGCAATCCGAAGAAGGTTTGAAGAAGAAGGGGCCAAAATCTTGGAACAGTTTGGTGTTCTCTGTCAGAATGGATTCAGCTTGACCAGGATCTTTGAAGTAGATTCTGGACCCAATCTCCTCATGGATGGTTGGGTGGAAATAAGGATAAGGGATACCCTGGGAAAGACCTAATTGCCTGGACCATTGATTGGGACAGTATGTCTCAAAACTGCAGTTGGACAACTTGGTGGAGGATATAGAACAACCAACCAAGACATGTCTGCAGGTGAGAATGTGTCTCCAAGTCTCATTTTGTTCTTGGACTTGCTCATTGTCTAAATCATGAGGGTCTATGAAGAGGAAGCGAAGTCTACTGGAGGAGAATTCAAAGTTTTGAAATGGCATGTACAAGTTGGAAGGTCTCTTCAAAGGAAGGTTGTAAAACATGGAAAGATGATTTTTGAAAGTCAGGATGGGTTGGACGTTATAAGTGAGCAATGCTCAGCATAGGAGTGGAAAACTGGTTTCAAGGTGTTAGCTGGTGGGGGTCGTGCCTCAGGGAAATAGGCATACAACCAGGCCTGGAAGAGCCAGAAGGGGCCACCACAGTTGCCAGAAATCTTCTTGTCGACAAAGGAAAATAGGGCCTTGTAAAGGGTGGCAAGAAGATAAGGGGCTAAAGCCATAGCTTGGCCATCTTGCATACACAAGGCAAGGGAGAGGTATTCCTTCGTGATCTTGTACCCAGGGACACAAAAAACAAACTCACAAAGCCAAAGTAAGTAAAAAGCAACTCTTTCTTTGCCCTCGATCGGGGAACCGGGTGCGCCTTTGTATTTTTTGGCGAAATTTGTATAGCACATGTTAGTGTTTAAAGTAAAGTTAACTGTTGGAGGCTCAAGGAGAGCATGAATTGGATTGCCCAAGATTGGGAGACCAGTCAAGTGAGCTACATCTAAGATGGTAGGAGAAATCATACCAAAATTGAGGAGTAGGGAGTTACAAGATTGTGACCAAAAGCATGCAACAGCAGCAATCAGCCCTTTGTCCATGTCATAATTTTTAGTCGACAGTCTAATTGCTTCACTAATGCCCTGGTGCTTCCATACTTCAGCGTCATGACCTTCAATTCTCCTGGCCCAGTTTCGCCAAACAGAGTCTGGTGACCTCCACGATCTGAGTGGGTTTTTGTTGACATTCTAGTTAGTCCACGTAAGTCTAGGTTGGTTGAGAAGAAGGTTCTCACCATTACCAAGGGGATAATATGGAGCTAGCTCGTCTGGGAAGAAAGACGTGAAGGTAGGGCCTAGCGTAGCCTTAGCGACAGAGCTTGTGCTGGGCAATAGGGTAATACCTAATTTTAGAGGAGCGATACGTGCTCTGATAGGGTCTGGGAAGCGGAGTAGGTCTTCATTGTTGTCCTCAAATGGAGATGGTTGAGATTTTTTGGGCGCCATGGCTTAGGGTTTTGTTGTACTGTGGTTTTGAATGACAATGCTTGAGAAGAAGGAGTCCACTCTGAGGAGTTCGAATCAAAGGGAAATGAAGTTGAAGTGGCTGAGGGTTTTGTGGTGCTGTGGTTTTGAATGGCAATGCTTGAGAAGGAGTGCACTCTGAGGAGTTCGAATCAGAGGGAAATGAAGTTGAAGTGGTTTGAAGTTGAAAATGTGGGTCTTTTATATCTTATGATGGGGCCAGTATATTTAAATGCTCTCATATTGGGCTGTAGTTTATGTTTGTTTTGGGCCTGTATTAAGAAATTTACTATTCGACTTATCTGTTGGGCTCAGGGGAATAAATCCTGTGTTAAATACAAATTGGGCCCAACTGGCAAGTTTGGTGAAGGTTAAATCATATGATATATAACTTGAACAAGGGTGCCATTGTTTGCACCAAGTTTTGCCAGTCTCTGTTGACAGATGGTCCACTTAATGGAGGACACGTGGCCTAGTCTGAAGGAATGTCCAGTAGTTGAAAGTGGGTTGTTTGTATGTGGGTCACGTAGAAGTGATGGAGGCAGTTTTTAGCACCTATCATGGAGTTGGTGGGCACTTTCAGGAGGAAGCATGAGACAAAGCAGGAGCCTTGCTTTGTCGACATAAATTCCAAACAGTTGGTTGCCATGAAATAAACTGAAGAAAAGGGAGATTGACAGATAGAAGTGGAGGTTTAGTACACTTGCGTTTTCATATCCCTATACTGTTTTTGTGGCCCATCATTGCATGATCTCACACTTCTACACCATAACTGCCACTGTAACTACCCCCCTGACTTCGAATCTTCAAACTCTACCAAATATTGACTCTTCCCTGTTGACCTTCCTTTTCACCATTGTGGCACATGTCCCTCATCATTATGACACAACAATCGACAGAATATTGTCCACTAAACACAACCACAATCCTTGCAAACTGGGCCACTGAACTACAACACTAGGCCACTCACTGTAACTGCCCCCTGCCTTTGAACCTTCAAACCCTGCCAAATATTGAATTTTCCTTGTAATTTAATCAATAAACGCAATGTTGGTAAACTTGTTAATATTTGAAAAACCCGTTTTTCTACACTGTCATGACATAAACACAATTGTTGTCCTATATTTTACGTAACCACAATACACAACTTATTTATATTGAAAACAAAATATACATTTCAGGTTTCTAATCATAAAAATGGAAACTAATTTTTTTCTTTTTTAAAGTTCACTCATATGTTCAGCTAAATTATGATTGGTTATTTTTTTAAAATTCCTCTTTCCACCTATTTTTCCCACATCATGCCAACAGGTGCTCCATTCAATTGAGGACACATTGCAAGTCCACCTGAAGACAAGGGTTATCAACTAACATTGAATCTTGCATGCCACCTGACTTACATGGTGGAGCAGTTACTGGCACTGATCATGGATTTAGTGGCCACCCTCGAAGAGGAAACATTCGCGAATTGGGAGTCTGTATCTGTCGAGGAAAGGCTAAAAGGACTTGGGCACAGGTGGCAACTTTAAGATATGCACTTCAATAGGTACAAGTAAAGGTTTTATGTGGTTTGAAGACATGGAAATGACCGTGCAATCACAAAAGTTGCACAGAAGCAGTTGCCGCTTCGGCAGATCATGGGATCGTGGGAAATAAGAGCTATAAAGGGCAGAACGTTTGCAGACAGAGAGCACATGAACAACAACACAACAACTTACTTTCTACATTGTAACTTCTGAGCAATTTTTTCACTTTTCATTTTTCAACCTCAAATCAGCAAAGGTTTACCTTCTATGATTTGTTACCATCACCTCGTATCAGAAAGGTCATTCTACTAGTTTACTTTCTTACCATCAGTTCATCGAAAGAAGTCTTCATCCTTTTTAGGCATTCAAACCAATACCACAATTGCTTGATTCTCTTCTTTAATTTGTCAACTTTAAATTATTGCTTGGTTGCTGTAGATATAGGCCCACTTTAATTTTACTAACAATAAACCCATCACTTTCGTAGTTAACATGAAATAATTTCACAACTCCTGTTCATAACTCGTAATTCATATAGCAATCGGCATAGAGATAAAGTAAACGAGTTCGTTGGGTTACTTTCTCCAACTAATACCCAAAATTAACTGCCACTTGGATTATATACAAAATGCATGTGCTGGGATGTAATTTTGCAAAACCACATGGACAAAATTCGTATTTTACTCGAAATATAATAGTAATTTACCGAAACAAGTCATAACAAATCAATACGAAGCCAAACACATTGTTAGCTGGTAAACCACACCACAAGAAACGATTCACTTAGATCCAACCAAATATGGAACACAAACGAGCAACCCGCAATAGGAATCTTGGAATAAAGACATAAGCCAATTTCCAACCTAAAACAATACACAGACAACCCATATATATCTCACCTTCAACTAGTTTTCAAAATGACAAGTCACTGCATACACAAATGACAACATCACTCTAAACAATATGGGAAATCACTGTTCCTGGCCTTGTACATAAGTAACGTTGTGCCATTTCGTGGCATTGTACATAACCAATTATTTACACGTTACATACAACAATTCGTGCAAAATGAAAACTACATACATATCTACCCTGTTCTTCGCAATGATGTGTTTCAAATAGCTAGTACTATCTACCTAATAAATTAAGGGAATAAGTAAATCATACAAATTATTCAATTACCTGATTCACCTCATCAATTGTGGTCGAATCATTTTTGCACACTGCTGCTTCGACACTACCGTATTGGCCCACAGGCTATTTGGAATCAGGAGAAGCATCGAAAAATAGTCGTCATTGCTTAATGTGCGGTGTACTTGGATACACCAACCCAGGTTCGTAGCGAATGGGCAATGACTCCGCATTGTACTCACGGTCGGTGATGTGGGTTGTATCTGCATCTGAGTTACTACCCACTGTTCGGCTAAACCGAACCTTAGGACACGTTCGCTTTGTGTGCCCAATGCCTTTGCAATTCCTACATTTTCTTGGTCTTCCACAGTTGGACGAGGCCCGTCCCGGGTTCCCTTTTGTCTTCACAAGATCAGGATCTTCTACTCCAAATTGTCATGGGATTGAATGTTTCCCTTTGTCTCCATCCCCATTGTTCAGATTCCTCTCATATAACTCCTTCATCCAACTCGTCATCGGAAGACATGCATCCCGAGCCTCTTTGAAACCTTTCGTTGATTGCGAAGCATAGAAACACATTTCATTGTAGGCAGAACTCAATATCCCATACCGGGCCGTCTGTGTTGTAGTGCTATCAATTGAGGGTTGAGGCCATTGCTGGCCATTCTTGCTTGCAGCCCTTGTCCATCTATGCAGCACACAAGTTGGGGGAATTTGCGTTAAATTTTTGGCTTTCATAACACATATCATGTGACAGCAAGGTAGCCCCAACGACTCAAACTTCATGCAAGAACATCTCATTTTAGCATCCACTGGATTGTGTGTTACTATCCATGATCTATCCTTCACCTCGTACTTATGAATATAGTAGCATTTCTGACCATCCGACAAAGGGAACACGTCATTCACATTCAACTTCCCCTCTTCTACGATTTCATCACGGAACATTCTAAATATATTTCGGGTGAATAGCTCAGCTCCATGTCTCTCTATATCACAATGGTGTAATTAATATCGGAAAAGTGTTATTTGTTTCAGCATCATCTCCAGCCTCGTTATACCTTATCCTTGCAAGAGCCCGATCATAGTGCCTAACAAATTCATATAACTTCAATTTGTATTGGAGGAAGGGATTGAAATAAGCATTCATACTCTCCGAGCGCTGAGTGCTCTTCATCCCAGCAAAGAAATGTCCACGCATATATGACTTAGCCCACATGTGACGCTTCTCATATGTCTCCAACACCCAGCTATTGGTTTGAAGCCCAAATTTTTCGACCATTCTCGTCCAACCATCCTCAAACTTTGCCTCATCTGTTTCCATGTCCATGCACTGCTTGAAAGCATGTGCAAAGCCACTTTTGTGAACATTTGAAACAACATTTTTCCTAAGATGCCAATTACATAATTGATGTCTTGCGTCCAGAAATACTCTTCTGATTGCCTCTCGCATCGCCTTATCCCCATCTGTCAGTATGGACACAGGTGCTTTATTGGCCATTGCCTCCATAAATGTTTCCAAAACCCATGTGTATGTATCAATTGTTTTGTTAGCTAGCAAAACACATGCAAATATCATGGTCCTAAAGTGGTTAGTCACATCAGCTAACATGACAAAAGGTTTCTTGTACACATTGGTTCTGTACGTTGAGTCAAATGTCAACACATCACTAAACTTTGTGTAGTTAGCCCGCGATTTCGAATCTGCCCAGAACAAATTTTGTAACTTTTTATCCTTACATACATCATACTTGTAAAAAAAACGTGTGTCAACATCAAGTTTTGCACATAGGTAAACCAACGCACCCTGTACTTCACCTTCCTCAATTTTTGCTCTATGTTCGGCTTGAATATGGTTGTGCAAATCCGTGCGGATGAAACCAACATTCTCATAAGACCCGGACTGATTTACCATATAGTCCATGATTTGGCTAGTCTTCATACCAACGTTGCGCATAGCCATTGCTTGAGCTTTGTCAGCGCTGTTTAAACCGCGATGTGACCTCAGATATATCACACAGTGTTGTTCCACCAATTCATGGTTGTGTTCTGCGACGAAGTGAGTCACAACATACTTTTCCCCTTCACCAGCATCTGCATTGTACCGTATGCGAAATTGGGCTTTGTAACCTACTCTTGTTAGTGCCTTGGGAGCTCTACTTTTCTCAGCAACACGTTCCAAGTATTTTGGTAATCTCTGACCTTCCCTTGAACACAACCACAGCCTATTAACAACCTTTCCCTCTTTATTTGTGTTAAATTTGGATTTTCGTATACTAAATCCCTTGGCTTTAGCATACGCATTGTAAAAAGCTTCTCCGTCTTCGACCAAATCAAATTTTTGTTCTAGAATAGCACGTTCAACATCACCAACCATGTCATTGCGATGAGCATCGTCAACCATTTCTTGTTTCACATCGGCTCCGCCATCTTCAACGTTCATGTTGGTTGTTTCTTCATTGCTCGGACCAGCTTCGTAACCATGATAATGTTTCGCCCGACTTTCATTGATCAAATGAATGTCATCTGCTTCATTTGGAATGTCATAATCATCACCTTCCCTTTTAACTTCCGCTGGGGCCATACTGTACATGACATTAGTACAAACAATTACTTGGTGACCGAAAAATGTTAACACAAACACAAACATGACATTTTCACACGGTTTAATTGTTTGTTGTCACGACCCAAACCCGCCCCTGTAGGTTTAGCACCGTAACCGGCTAGTAACCTGTGGATTACCAAAGGCCTCTGTACAGATTAGCAAATAATAAGGGGCTGCGGAAGCAATAATACAAAGTAGACAAGGTCCAATGAGCTGTGATGACGTACATGGGACAGAACATTTCAAAACTTATATATACATAATCATGCCAGTCCAGTTACACAATATTTACAAGGTATTTACAGAATGTACTTCCCAAGACCTGACTTCACAGAGTTTTCACAAAGACTAGCGTGAAAAGAAAAACAGCCATGGCAATAGGCTTCGTTCGGAACCTCTTCAGGAGGCACAACAGTTGGCTGACAAAAACAGAACAGAAGGCCGTCAACTCTGGCCCTGGTCATGTGCCGGCTCACCTACATATATAATAGTAACTGTGAGCGAAAGCTCAGTGAATAATAACAGAGTAAAGGGGTTTTATGAACGATGTCCAGCATAAGTTAGAATCCAGTATTTAAATCAGAACATATTCAGACTTCAAAACAGAAATAGATTTAGATTCACATTCATGTTCATATCCAGATTTTGCATAAGATCATACGTGGTACACCCATTAGCTATCAAATCAATTTGGTCCAGAGACCCATATGCATAGTTGGTACCAACGACCATAAAGGTCCATATCTTGTGCACAAGTAGCCATGGTATTGTTACCCCCAGGCAAGGGCCACATGCAGATTGGCCGCGGTATTGTTACCCCCGGGCGAGGGCCATGTGCAGATTGGCTGCGGTATTGTTACCCCCGGGCGAGGGCCACGTGAACTAAGGGTGCCACAAATACTTTTCAGAAAATTGGACATTCATTCATAATTCGTAAGATAGCATTTCAGAAAATAGATAATACCATATCAGTTAGAAAATACTTAGGTTAAACATAAATTTACAGAGTTATTACTCACAGTGGGCCTTAAGATAGATAGACGGAGTAAACTTGGTCAAACGGTACATGGCACGTGACCTACACAACACATAACGGATACACACTTGAAACACACATTCTAATTGCACAAAACTTACGTCGTTGATTCTTAGTGTGTTTCTAACCTTAAATCCTCACTATAGAGTCTTAAACGTGGCCTAGGAGTGCCTAGGATGAAATGAGGATGCAAAGATGTCTTAGAAAACATTTTTCAAAACTTGCTGAAAACAGGGGTCTCGCTCAAGCGTGGCTTTCTTCGCTCGAGCGAGCTTGTCAAAATAGAGGGGTTGCTCGAGCGTAGACTCCTTCGCTCGAGTAGTCTGTAAAAATGCAAAAGTACTGGTTGTTGCAATTTTACGCTTAATGCTCGCTCGAGCGTGAGACACAGCTCTTCGCTCGAGCGTAAGTCTCGTCGCTCGGGCGTGCTTCTGCGTGCACCAAAAACCTGAGAGCTTGCACTTTACGCTTGAGCCACCATTCCTTCGCTCGAGCAGAGCTCTGAACAAACGATGGTCGCTCAAGCGTGGAATCCTTTGCTCGAGCAAGGAAGCCAAATTCTGGAATTTCTAGATTTGCCTCCCAAGCTCAAACCAAGCATTCTACACTTCAAATCTCAACCTCTTGGGTGCATTTTTTGGAAAACATTTGTAAACTCATAGTATAAGATGTTTCAAAGATCAATTTGTAAAATCAAAGCCCAAAGGTGAGTCAATTAAACACAATTTCAAATAAAACTTCAAGAACATAACTTAAATGTAACATGCATGAATCTCATTGAATCCAAACCCTCCAAAACATGATCAAACTTAATACTTTGATGGACAACAAGATGAAAGACCATAATGGGAGTGAAATTAATACATGCATGGAAGAAACCTTAGAATTCAAACTCAAAGCATGGAAATTTATGCATGCATGGATGGATGGACTCTCAAAACCACACTTTGAGCTAAATCTAGACTTTAAATACCAAATTTCACCATGAACCTAGCAAGAACATCTCAATTCCATAATTAAAAGGATGAATTCTCTACCTTTAGGTCTTGAATACAAGGTGTGCTAGCTCAATTTTGTGATTATCCTTCAATTTCTCCTAAGTCTCCAAGTTAAATCTCTTGTTGAACTCAAATTCTCCTACTCTCCCTCTTTCTCTCGAATTGGTCTTGTGGATGGAGAAGAGTGATGAAAACAATTGCTTAATTCAAGTCTAAACAATGGTTTAGATAGTGGCCTACCAAGTGGCATTTTGGTAATTTACCTTGATTCATTAATTTAACATTATTTAATCTAGTTTAATCATTCCGAATCAGATTTTAATTAAGTTTACCATAAAATCACATATATTCTAATTAACACATAACACTAATCAATTTCGAAATCGGGCGCCGATAAGGCTTTTAATTCGCAGTTCAAAGTCTAAACATGAACAGATCATTTTATGGCAAACAGATAGAAACACAGAATTAATGCAATACATATGCAAAATAATCCCAGATTCCTTCTAAATTACTGTTAGGCATAATTAAGTGCGAATTAACATTAATCAAGGGTCGGAGTTATTACATTTGTGCAAACACAAACACTCACTTCAGAAAGAGAAATGTTAGTCGCCAATGGAGGGTTTCCGTTTGAGTGAAGCGTAGAGCGGTTGAAGTTAGGATGGGGGTTTAGTTGAGAGAAAATAGCTGAAGTGAAGAGGCCAGAGACAGAGAGAGACAGAGAGAGGGAGACAGCTTCATACCTCATATCTAGTTAGAGAGAATGCCTTCACTTTAGCAATGGAACCAACACAACCTTCTAGTTCCGTTGTTGTTGGAAATCTCCTGTTATACTGTTCTCTACAGAGCTTCGTCAATGCAACCCAGCAGGGGCTTCTCGCTGTTAATGGAAATCAAGGGTTACACTGACTCAACCTTACACAGAGAGGAGAACAGAGAGAGATAGAGACGAAGTAGAGAGAGTGAGTGGGATGCAACCATGCAAATACAAGCTTTAACCGGTTGCCCCGGTTTCAACTTTTTCACGATTAAACAATTCAATGGTCTTGATCAATCATTGTAATCTAACGGCTAAAAATTGGGTTGCATATGGTGTGCAACCTTAAGGGGGTTGCACACTTAAACAACGCCCTAACTTGTTTGGCAATTTCCTATTTTGCCTTTTATTTTGTATAATTTACTAATGGCATAACAATTTGAATGAAGGTTTTCTCATAAATATGCAAACATTGGTCAATTGTAAAATATAAATCTTTTATTTTTTAACAAATTACAAATACACCTATAATGTTTGTTTAAAATATGAATGAGTCCTATAATAATACAAATTACAACTATCGTTTGTTATAAATTTTAATTTAACCTAATAATCAGAAGAAAAAAAAAATCAATAACTACTCTCCTATGCAATAACAAATTATCAAAATTGTTCATTGAAAAATATTTCTCATATCATTAAAAACTATTAATTGACTTAATGCTTTATTTATTAACAAAATAATTAACTGAAAGATATTTCTCATATCATTAAAAATTATTAATTGACTTAAGGATTTATTTATTAATAAAATTGATCATTTGTTATGAGAGTATGATTTATTTATTAATAAAATGGGCCATCTGTGTATATATATGTATTCTCCTCTACTTCTTTATTAGTTCCGTTTTTTTTTTAGGTAGGGAATTATCTTATCTCGTTTATACTAAAATGTATATTTGATTTTGTTTATCTTTATGTCTTCACACTTAGTTTTACTGAAAAGGAAAAGAATATAATTATGTTATATTTTTTCTAATTGTTATTATTTATAATACAATTTATATTTTTCTATCATATATCTAATAATTTATTTTATTTAATTTGATAAAATAATATTCTTATTTTTAAAAATTAAATATATTGTAATAGTAGGCACAAGCCTTTGTAACCACTATATATATATATGTGTGTGTGTTACTCGCCATCTCTTCTTTATGATTTAATTAAAATATTTATTTTTTAAGACAAATTATACTTTACTCCTCAACTATTATCGTTTTTCAGAAGATAAATGGGGTACATTCTATTAATTTTTAATTTGAATGGATAAAGTGAAAAGCGGTGATAATTAAGGGGGAGGTAAAGTGTAATTTGACCATCATATAATTGAAAAAATAAGAATAAATTAAAAATTCATCCCTTGAAGTTTTTTTAAAATACGGATTGCCCTTTATAGTTTATAAAATTACAAATATCCTATTATTTGAATTTTTTATTTAACAAAATTAATTAAAAAAATAAGAAAAACCGGTGATGCTTGAGGGGGTAAAGTGTAATTTGCCCATCTTATAATTGAAAAAATAAGACTAAATTACAAATACATCATTTGAAGTTTCCTTAAAATACGGATTGCCCTTTATAGTTTGAAAAATAACAAATATCCCATTGTCTAAATTTTTTATTCAACAAAATTAATTGAAAATATAAAATTCATAACTACTCTCTTATACAATGATAAAATTAGTAATTAAAATAAATTTTTGACATCATTAAAAAATATAATTGACTTGATGATTTATTAATAAAAATGAACAGTTTGTTATGAAATTGAAAATTTTCAGGGGAAAAATGTAATTTTTAAAATTATAAAAGATAAATTATATTTTAAACAAATTTCATGAGATTTATTTTGTAATTTTTGGAAGCTTTTAAAGATGGAGTATAAAACAATATCTATTCATCAATTTAAGTCAAACTTTTCAAATAAATAAATGACCCTGTAATTTGTCTTAATTTATTTGTATTAAATTAACTCACACGCACTTCATTGATTTTTCACTTGATCACAGGTAATACTTATGAGAATTTATGTGTAGTTCTTAATAGGTGAATTTATTATCTAAAAAGTCTTATGATAATTAATAATATTTTTTTATCAAACACGATTAAAAAATATCATTAA